GGGAGGCGGGTCTGGCCACGGGCAGCGCTAGCGAGAGCCTCTCCCGCCGGCCCCCACACCCACATTCCCCACCCTCCGGACCCCGGGCCGAGAGCCGCGGACTGGCTGCCAATTTGGGGAGGTGGGGAAATGAGGGGAGGAGTGGGGGAGAGGCTCCCGTGCGGCAACCCGCCCCTTTTCCCCAGCCCGGGGACAGAAACCAAGATCCGAGAGGTGATTCTGCGCCTACTTGGGAGACTCTCTCGGGAACAGAACTCAGCCCCATCGGCGGCCAGCCTGGAGAGAGGCAGATCCGATGATCCACGTTGGGGAATCGCAGGTAGCTTCCCTGCCAGTTCAGCCCAGGACTGGGGAGAAACTAAAAAGAAATTGAACCTAAGCTAACTCCCCAGGGCAGGCAGAAGATGGAAGAAGGACTGGCCCTTCCTACTCTGGGATGGGCCGTCCAGTGGGCTTCCAATCTTGGTTTGATACCTGTGTCTAAAGCAGATTTTGTGAGTATAGAATTGCCATAGGCATCCAATTCCTGGTTCTGTTGAAAGAGGCCTCTTTCAGATCCTTTACTGTTTCCTCTGCAAAGGATCTAGAAACCACTTGGCAAGGCAATTTCTACTGAAGAAAACTTTGGCCTGTTTGGTAGAGGACTATATAAACTGGATTAAAATATGCCACAGTGCATCCAGTGCATGGCTGTCTGCTAATTTTCAATTCCTGCTGGTAATTTTGCTATTAAACCTACAGTTTCATCCATAAAAGATATACTGGAGAGGCATTAAAAATGTCTGGATGGTAGAACTCAGGTAATTAACAGCTCCTAATAAGTCACATCATTGTAGGCATCATTCTATACCCACTTCCACTGAAACACACCCATCACATAATAGTGCTCAATGAAACCCAAGGAAAGTAGATAATCCCAGCAGTGTTACCTTGACCCTAAACTCCAATATTAAAGAACAATGCAAACTGGGTAAGTGGAAAACATTCAGGTGGTAGTATCCTGATTTTGCTGCCTCAGTACTCAAACCACCATTTCCTTTTGCCTGCAGGGACACGGATGAAATCAGTACGTTTTTAACACACACCTCCACCTTCCTTTCAGAAGGATGACCAATTTTGACCATAAAAAATATGATTATATACCAGAAGATGACATAAATATGTGTATTTGTAGGGGAAGGAATTGGGGAACGTTCGGGTTTTGCTGACTTCCTGGTTTGGAAAATGCTTTTAAAAAAGAAAAGGGGAAAAACCTAGTTAGATAATAGCTTAAGAGGAACCTCCATATGCCAGACTTCACACATGGTTTGTGTTACTGTTACTGCTCTTGGTCTGATTTCAAACACACAATGCTATTTGCTATGGTCTGTGCTGTTAATCAGCAAAACCTGTGGTCCACTCTTGGGAGTGATGTAAATGAGATGTGAACAGTTCTGATACCTTAATCCTGTCTCTGCAAGGATCCCTGGCTTTAGCCTGTCTGTTGGCACCTACAAACAATGCTATGATTGTCTCCTCCCGTCCCAAATCAGATGTGTGGGTTTCCCCATACATCAAAGCACAGATTTCCAAAGCAGCCTTCACACCATTTACAATCGGTTAGCCTGTTAATAATGTTCTTGATGTAATTGACCTAGCTTGTCACACTTGACTTTTCTAAGTAAACAAATGCGTCAAAGTGCATAGTTTAAACAAGGTCCTCTGGGGCAGGGAGCATCTCAGAATGCATCCACTGCCCCATATTTATTTTAGAGTATTTGGGGAGAAGACTTTTCATATTAAATGTCAACAATAATTCTGTTTGGGATGCAGGTGGCTTAAAAAAATATCCCTGTTTCCTTTTTAGGTACCAGTAGCAACTTGTTAACATTTTTGGTTAAGTCTGTTTGCCTGGGCCTTCAGTTTGTTTCTTGCTGTTCTCCTTTGACTAAGCTGGTATTTGTTCAGCCTGGAAAAACCTTCCTGAAAATGGCCCTAGTGACCTTAGTCAATTAAGATAGAATCTGCATCCCTTTCAGCAATAAACAGCAATAAATTCCAATCCCAAAAAGCCATTTCTCCTCTCTAAAACAATTACTGTTTCTGCAATTTAAAACAATTGGGAACTCAAGTGCTTTCCCCAAGGGGAAAATAAAAGTGAGTTAGATACAGTCCTTAACTGTCAATCACTGTTACTAAAGTGTAAATTACCAGGATTGAGGAAGCATTGGAAACCTGGAAATACAGTGATTAGGTTTATATTTCTTGCCTTCCCTGATGACTAATTAAGGCTTTCCAGTTTTTCAAATATTTGGAAAGATGGGAAACTTCCTTAGACTCTGCTCATTGACAAAGGTCAACAGTGTTTGCTTAAAAATAGTTATTTCACTTTGTACCACTAAGTTCTTTGACAGACAATACCTCAGAAAAATTGTGCTCTATAGAAGAGAAAAGCCTAAATCCATTTTTTGCAGACTATTTCCTTGCCAATTCCAGTCTCCCCTCTTGATGGTAACACTACTTTTCTCTTATTCCAAGGTAATTAGTAGGAACCTCAGAGTTAGCTTTGACCTCACTCACTCCTGCCCCTAGCTCTCCACATCCTAACATAGTTGCCAAGTGCTTTAAATTCTTCCTCTGTGACATCTGCCTCTCCTTCTGCAGCCATCACTCCAGTTCCAGACATTATGGCTCACCTAAACCCTTACAGTTACCTTCCAAATAACTGGCCTTCATTCTTATAACCATTCTAATCCAGTCCAGATAACACTGCCAAGCTAATTATCCTGAACTACAGCTCTCATTTCCCACCATGTCACTCCCCTGCTTACAAGACTTTAATGGCTCCCCATTGCCTATCCAATTAACTACTAACTAGTCAACACGGTATTCCAGGCTCTACCTCACTGATCTCTACACTCCTGCACCAGGGATGGCAAACTGATCTCCTGTCAGGAAGGAACTCCTGAGGCTGGTGGGAAAGATGTGGGTTGTGATTGATGAATGCTGTCTCCCATGGGTGGAGGCCGGGAGTGTGACACTCATGCCAGGACTTTGCCAACCTGTTTTCTATCCTTACATAATCCCTGCAGTCCATGTGTGATCCACAAGCCGTGCCACGGGCTGTTTCCTCCTCCTCCTGCTTGTAGTGCGGGATCCAGGGACACTTGCCTAAGTCTCTGCTTCCAGAACGCCCATCCTGCTTTCTCTATTTATTGAAACCCTACCTTTCTTTTCAGATCCATTCTACAGGGTAGCCCCTCTGTGGAACCTTCCCTGATTTATCCTACACCAAATATTTGGGCAGTCTTAGGACTCTGCACCCCTCTTAGGTTGCTTAGTAGACACTATCCACACACTATTGTGCTGTGTGTCATGTAACATTTGCCTTACCCTCCCTCCCTGGGTTATGCTCCTGGAGAACAGCGCCTCTGCCCCTGTACACAGTAGGTACTCATTAGAGTTAGTGGATCTGGGGAATGGAACTGATAAACTAATTATAAGGTAGCATGTCTACACAGGGATTCCATTACACCACAAGAATGAAAACGTAAGCATTTCAACTTTCAATCACTTGAAATAAGCCTTTCCTTCCCAGATAAAGATTAGCTGACATGTATGTGCTGTTAAAATTTATTTATGCAAAAAAAAAAAGTTGACAGTTATTTTCCTTGCAGTTCTTGGAGAGGGAGAGAAGGAAAATTATGGAAATATGTAGTAGAATTTCCTTGGGAGAGAAGAGCTTTCTACAACATGCCTAAGAACAAAGAAGACAGAAAATTAAAACCGAATGCCCAGACAACAAGTTTTCTTTCTTTCAAAAAAGCATCAAAAAGCTGAGCTGGACTAAATGCTGAAAATAGAAGAAACCCAAATGAAAATGCAGCACTCACTGCTCTTGGCCAGGGAAGGGGCTCCATTCTGCTGCAATGTTTGTAGGTTTGTAGTCAGGGCAGCCCCGACCAGGGAAGTCCAGGCAAAAAAGAGCCCTCTGTTCAAATTACAGAAGGAATGGCATAAACCTGAAGTCCTCATGGATGGGAAACAGGAATGCCAGGCTAGGAAATAAAGAGGAAGGTTAAAGCATGTGGCATCCACTCTGGATAATATCCTCCACCCCTTTTCTTGTTTTGTAGATGAGGAAACAAAAATGCCTCTCTTGTTCAAGACCACCCAGTCAATACATGGGGTGATGTGGGAGCTTCAGCTTAGCTGAATTCAAGACCCAGCTCTGCCGCATACTAACAGTGTGGTTGGGAGTAAGTCACTAAGCATTTCTGTGCCTGTGTCACCTCTTCTATAGACGAGGAGTTGTTCAGAGGGGGAGATGAGAGATCCTTCCAAAATGCTTGTTACTCCAAATTTTGCTATTCTTCTGCATTTTACAGAATGTAACAAAACACCGTATAAAACTGCATGGTCCAATACAGTAGCCACTAGCTACTTGTGGCTATGGAATATTTGAAATGTGGCTAATTCAAATTGAACAGCATGATAAATGTTTAAATCCACATTAGATTTGGAAGGCAGTACAAAAATTTTAAGTGTCCCATAATTATCATTATATCGATTGCATTGTTGCATGTTGGAATGACAGTAGTTTGGATATGTTGGGTTCAATAAAATGTATTACTAAAATTAATTTCATCTCTTAACTTTTTAAAATCTGGCTATTGAAAACAAAAAATTAGTATGCACTTTACCTTATACATCTCTGAGACCATGCTGGTATGGAACAAACTTGGCACAGAGTAGGTATTAAAATGATTTAATTAGAGTAATTACTAAGGTTCAGCTGGGGGCAGCCCTGGGTCAAGAGTTAACATCTGTCTTGTCATTTTACAAAATCTATGCTTCTATTTGCAGGGCACTGAGCTGGATGTAAGGGAAACAGAGGCAAAATGATTGTGTCTGACAGAGAAGGTAAGATATGCATGCGAAAATGAAGTGGTATTCAGTAATGAGGCTTCAACTGCCCTGAAGACTACCATCAAAGGCGTGAATAATCTTCCTCAGGGGATGGAACTAGAAGGGTCCTGCCTTCAGCAGCTTAGGTTCCCTTTGTTAGCTTCTGGGTTAACAAACCAAGACTGCCGGGCTTCAATCAGAGAGAGCATTTGACAAGAGACAAAAGCCAGACAACCTAAGGAACAGGATCCTGCATCTCAGCATTTCCAACCTGAAACACCTAAGCTTCACCTGGGTGAGGTGAGGTGATGTATTGGACTCAGTGTCCTTCACAGAACCATCATGATCCCACTGATAATGAGCTCACTGATCTCTTTGGCTGGGTTTGAAAAACACAGGGTAAAGAAGGCTTGATTGTAAGCTCCTTGAGGGCAGGGACCCTGTCTCTCTTGTTCACCTGTGCATTCTCAGGGCCAAGCACCGTTTCCAACACATGATAAATGCATTATTTATTGACTGAAAGAGTGAATGGATGAGGTATAGTTAAAAAGGAAGAAGAAAAACTGTGACTACATCAAGAAAAGGAGCACAATTTATTGAGTATTTGTTAGAGGCTAGGTGCTTTCTCATGTCTCATGGCTACTTCATAAACTAGGCTCCTCCACGTTGCCATGAGCAATTTACTGAACTCTGAAGTTCCATCTCCCCATATATCAAATTGTTGTGAGGACCTTTTTGCTTTTTCGATCACTTATATCACAGCAGAGTTGGTGAGGGTCAGATAACACACATGGAAGTGACTTGGAGATTCTTAGAGGAGCCTCTCCAATAGAACCATATCTGTGTCATCCAATATGATTGCCATTAGCCATGCGTGGCTGCTGGGCACTCAAGATATGGCTAATGTGACTGAGGAACTAGACTATTTTTTCCTTTTAAGTAAACTTTATTTTTTAGAGCAGTTTTAGGCTCAGCATTCCTATATACCTCCTGCCCCCACACACCACTGCCTCCCCCACCAGACTGGAGTATTTGTTACAATTGATGAATCTACACTGATACATTACACCCCACAGCCCACGGCTTACATTATGGTTCACTCTTGGTATTGTATTTTCTACGGTTTTGGACAAATGTATAATGACATGTGTCTACCATTATAGATAGTGCTGTAGTTTCACTGTCTGAAAATCCTCTGTGGTCCACCTCTTCATCTCTCTCTCCTCCAACCAACCACTGATCATTTCACTGTCTGCATAGTTTTTGCCTTTTCCAGAACATCACACAGTACATAGCTTTTTCAGACAGGTGTCTTTCCCTTAGCAATATACGTATAAAGTTCCTCCATGTAGTTTCATGGCTAAATAGCTGATACCTTTTGAGCACCAAATGATATTCCATTGTCTGGATATAACCCAGTTTATCCATTCCCACACTGAAGGACATCTTGGTTGATTTCAAGTTTTGGCTATTATGAATAAAGCTGCCATCAACATTAGGGTTTTGTGTGGCCATAAGTTTTCAGCTCTTTTGGGTAAATACCAAGGATTTACCAACTGCTGGATTATGTGGTAAGAGAATGTTGAGCTTTGTAACTACCAAACCATCTCCTAAAGTGGCTGCACCATTTGGCATTCCCACCAGCAATGAATGAATGTTCTGTTGTTCCACATCCTCACCAGCCTTGGTGTTGGCATTCTGAATTTTGGCCATTCTAATAGGTTTGTACTGGTATGTCACTGTTGTCTTAATTTATATTTCCCTGATGACATACGATGTGAAGTGACTTTTCATATACTTGGCATCTATATATCTTCTTTGGTGAGGTTCAAGTCTTTTGCCCGTTTCTTAATTGGGTTGTTTGTTTTCTTATTGTTGATTTTTATTTTGATTGATTTGTATACTTTGGATAATAGCCCTTAATCAAATATATCTGTTGCAAGTATTTTTTTTCACAGTCTATGGCTTGTCATCTCATTCTTGACACTATCTTTCTCAGAGCACAATTTTTTTATTTTAATGAAGCCCAGCTTATCAATTCTTTCTTTCATGGATCAAGCCTGTGATGTTGTATCTAAAATGGCATTCCCATGCTAAAGGCCATCTAGATTTTCTTCTGTGTTATCTTTCAGGTGTTGTATAGTTTTGTGTTTAGGTATATGATCCATTTTGCATTAATTTTTGTGAAAGCTTGTAAGCTCTGTGTTTATGTTCATTTTCTTTTTTGCATGTAAATGTGTAGCTGTGTCAGCATCACTTATTGCAAAAAACTATCTTTGCCCCATTGTATTGCCTTTTCTCCCTTGTCAAAGAGCAGTTGACTATATTTATGTGGGTCTATTTCTGGGCTCTCTGTTCTGATCATTGATCCTTTTTGTCTGCTCCTTCACCAATACCTCTGTGTCCTGATTACTGTAATTTGGAACTGGATTTTTAATTTTATTTAACCTCAATTAATTTGGATTTAAATAGCTACTCCTAGCTAGTCCTTACCATATTGGACAGTGCAGGCTCTTCATTTCAAGCTTTAATCTTCTGAACTTCTGAGCTACCCTCACATGGATACTCCCTGAGATTTTAGATTCTGTATTTATTTCGTACCTGCTAGGGAAAGATGCTGTAAGGGATTCTAAGATGAATCAAGTAGATTGTACATCTTCTATGAGATGCTAAGACAAGTCCATATTATCCTGTACTTTAAGATACTAAGTATTAAATGTCATAGGACAAGTTCAGGTGAAGTGCTACGGAGGAAGGAGCCAATGTTCCTTGTTAGAGAAATCAAGGGAGGCTCCCCAGAAAAGTTGTTTTTCCTGAAGTCAGGACTAAAGATATGTATTTGGTAATTGCTTATGGTAACAGATGGACTCTTTGCAAAGAGCTGAGGTCACACACTCCATTTATGTTCTTTAGGTCAGCCTATTTGTAGTGTTACACATGGACATTATTCCACTGAGGAAATATACCATAATCTTCCCTAATCAAGGCAATGTCCCCGCTAGAATATAATTCAACTTACATACTTCTCACCCTAGTCAGTGGTTCTCAAAGTGTGGTCCCCAGACCAGCAGCATCAGCAGGGAACATATTAGAAATACAAATTGTCATACCAGAGTCAGTACTCTGGGGGTGAGACCTTGCAGTCTATGTTACAAAAAGTCATCTTGTGATCTTAGTGCATACTCAAGTTTGAGGACCATTGTCTAGATTCAAGACCATCTGATTTATAAATGCCCATATATGAACAATTATGAATCCTAAAGGAGAATTCTTCTTATGAGAGAAAAGATGCATGCCTCTGTGTGCCTAACTTGGCCCAGATCTCCAGCATAACCACAGATTTCTCAGCACCAAGTAAGGAACCCTATGGTAACGAAGTCTGTACCTGTCTCATTATTGTGGTGGTAGTTTTATAGAGAGAAGGTTTTTTTCTCTTTGTCCAGGAAAACTTGGAAATGTTTTCCAATGTTAAAATTAAAAATAAGGAAAAAAGAAAAAGTTAAAAAAAAAAAGCTGTCAAACTAGCCTGGGTCTCTGATGATTCAGAATTCCAGTTCTGCCCTGGGAAAGAGATATTGAAATGGAGAGCCTGTGTGAAACTGAGTAAGCAATCAGCAGGAATTATTTTCTGCTTAACAGATCAGAAGGGTGAAAAAGACAGTAGCACTGTTCCAAAAAGCTACATCCTAGTAGATATTATGGGTCAAGCTTTCCTTTAGAAATAGCTCTGAGTTGTCCCCCTCTGCCATGCCAGAAGCAATGTAGTTGGCCATCTCACTAAATACCCACCTAAATACCTTTTGTCTCCTTCAGGTATGTCAGTTACTTATTATTATAACAGTACTGCCTAACAAACAGTCCCCAAACTCAGTGGCTTATAGCAACAAGCATTTCTTTCTCATTCTTACATCTGCAGTCAGAAGGATTCAGGGGAGCTTGGCTCCAGGGGCTGATGGGGCTTTGGTCTGCTTTGCACATCTCTTCTTGGGGCTATGATTGACTGAGGCCTGTTCTGCTCATGGCAAAAGGCAGGCGTGCAAGACAGCAAGTTCATCAACCAAGCTCATGCCAAGCCTGTGCATGCATCACAGTTGCTAACATCCCATTGGCCATAACAAGTCACATGGCTAAATCCAAATCAAGGAGTGGGGGAGCACTGTCTGTCCACCAAGAGCCTAGGGCAAGGGTGTGACTGGGCAGTGCTACTACAGGAGAGTGAACAATTTAGGCCAATAATCCAATCATCAGAGATGGTTATTCTGTGCATCAGAGGTTCTCAAGCTTGGCTGCACATTGTAATCATGCGGGAGTTTAAAAAAGTACTGATGCCTGGGTCCCACCCCTAGAGATTCTGGTTTAATTGGTCTGGGTGCAGCCCAGGCTCAGAGTGGTAGAAGCTCCCCAGGTGATTCTAATGAACAGCCACGTGGGAGAGCCACTGATGCTAAACCACATGCTGTTCATTACACAAACACGAAATTCTGACCACAGCTTTGGGGAGGTCCCTTTCCTCTTCATTTTGGGAACTCCCTATCTTTTAAGACCTTCTACAGTTAAAGCACATTACTGTCAGGTGCAATTTCAGTTCCCTCTAGTGAGCAGCCTCAGGTCAAATTCATAAAGAGGTACCGACAGAGATTTGCGTAGTGTTGAATTCTAATGAATTGCTGGTGATTCTGTTTGTTACTTGTCTATGGTTAAAGTGAAAAACACTGGTGTGGGTGCTAATTGCTAAATGTCTACATTCCTGAAGAACTTGTGAGAGGAGTATAGGATTCTGCTGTGTTATTTAGAAGTGAAGATTTACCATCTCAAGGCACAGGACACTTGCACAGACGAGGTACATATTCATTTTGGTTTCATTTATTTTCATGTTTGCTATACATTTGTACACTGGGAAATGTCTTTTTCTTGGTGTTTTCTGTCATTCAAAGTTCTGGAAATACATAGAACTGATAAAGAACTTCAAAACTGTTGTTATCAATATCTGTTCTAAGGTATTTGTTTTGTGCTACACATTTTGAAAAAGGGATACTTGGGGTTAATTAAAATCAATGACTTTAGTCTTTTGTAAACCATGCTTCTTCTCAGCAGAGTTTTTGCCACTAAGGAGCTCACATTTTTTTAATGAATCCAGCATATTTTTTAATCTTAAAACTCCCATTTCATTTATTCCATCACTAATTTTATTTCACAGGTTTCAGTTGGGAATCCTTTTAAATCTCTTTATGACACTGTGAAAATAAAAATATTGTATCATACTCCCTTTCTGATTTTTTTCTGTGTATAAGGAAGATTATATTTCAAGCACTGACCTATGTTTTAGAAAATCCTTTATATATTTCAGTTATCTTCTGGATGTAGTGATCAAGCAAAACATCCTCCATTAATTTCACAAGATGTTGTCTGGCTCATAGACAAGCTCATTTGTTGGAAAAAGAAGATAAATCATCAGATTGCATATTATTTTCCCCTTCAATTGATTGCTGGCTGTCAGGATGCTTGAGACTTTGAATAACCAATCAAATTATTAATTTCTGGATGAAATTCTATAATGCTGCATATGTAGATTTAGGGGGAGCACCGTGTAGAACAACGAAAATGTCAGTGTCTGAAAAAGAAAAAGAAAAAGATACATCCATCCTGCAGATGACTCACTAGGAACATATTGGATGCATTTATCAGAGTAGGAAACACTATAGAGTCAGTAACATTTCAGTTTGACACTTACTTCACATCCACAAGCTAGATCCACAAATATTTTCTTCCCAGGGAAATGTCACAATAAAGAAAATAAAGCCTTGGGCCCCTGCACAGCTGTTACCCTCCCATTCATTCCATGATGATATGACCAAAAAAGGATGCCTTGTCATGCTCGAACCACTGTTGCAACGCAGGGGGCTGAAGGCAGGAGGAGTGTTAGCCTTTTTTTTACTGCCCAAAAAGCTGTGTGACTCTGGAGAAGTTTCTAAACATCTCTGGGCTTCTGTTTTCTCATCTGATGAACTAGGTGATTTCTAAGGCCCCTCTGCAATTCCATTTGCTGAAAGAATACTTGGCATTACTAAAAATGCAGTGTTGGAGAGAGCTTTGTTTCAAGAGTGGATAAAAGCAGATGTTCAATATGGAAGATGTTATGGGTGGAATATTCTGGTGCTGAGCAAGTTCATTAAATGTAGAAATTACGCTGTGGACTGAGAGAAAAGGAAGGGTGCTTAAGTGTCAGTGTGGAAACGGGAGAGGTCAGTGAGCACGTGGACGAAGTCTCTCACAGAGTAGGTGGCTGAAGGAAGGAAAGAAGGACCTGGGACTCTGAGCTCCCCATTTAGTGCCCTTCCCTCTGCCACAGGGTGCTTCACTAGCCCAAGTTTAACAGCCATTTCATGGGTGTTTCTTCTATTTTGGTTGACAGGTCACTTGAAAGCGTCATTTTTTTTTAATGTGAGCAAAAGGATCTCTGAGGACAGACTCGGCCTTTAAGATGGGAACCAACATGGTTCCATCAAACGTGGGCCCCAAACGTGGTCAACTGTATGCTCATTGTCAGCCACTCCTTGACCACGTGATAGACACTACACGGTCAGCGTTCAGCTTCAACCTTAAGCACATGATCAGGCAGGGTTCAAGCTAATGTGGACTTGGTCCATTTGGGCAAATAGTGCCACTGTTCAATCTCGGGGATGCCCCAGAGCATAGTTAAGCCTTGGAATCCTTGCCTGTATGCTTCCTGGGCTGCGGGAAAAATCAACATGTCTTGAGCATGTTACTTACATCACCCAGGGTTAGGGACTGACTGGTGGAATCCATGCTCTACAGAGATTATAAGGGGTTTGATCAAAGCTTCGCACTTAATACTGGTGAAAACAGACTCTCAACCTAGTCTAATTCCAGTGCCCATGTTCTTAGACACATTTTTCTCTCTAATGCAAATAATAAGAAAATGAAGAACAAAAACGAAGCTTAAATCTCAGGCTAGGGAAAAAGAAAAACAAAAAGGAAAAAAATGGATGGGCTAGTGGAAATAAGAATTAAGAAACCTGGTTTTTCTTTTTGATCGTCATCCATCCTCCTCATTAGCATATAATAGATACTATTATACAACCACCAACTACTGGGCACTGGCCCTTTATGCCCTTTAAACAGATGTCCTGCATTTTACACTTATTTCCCACACACCACCGCAAGGACAAGCTACTGCTATCATTGCCATATGATGGCTGAGGAAACTGATGCTAGGATTACACAACTCTGGGGGCACAGAGCTGGTATGTGGCAGCCCTGTCTTCCCCCCACCCCACCTCCCCAGTTTCGGAATGACACCAGAACTCGCCCTCCGCTGCGCGATGCACCCGTTAGGACTGTCCAGAGTTCCTGCACAATCGCCTTCTTCTCCCTGGACATCAGCTTCCTCATCAATTAAGCAAAGGGGCTGGGCCAGATGATCTGTAGTGTTCTTTTCAAATCTAACATTTGCTGATTCTATCTGTGTACAAATGGAAGACTAAGAAAAACACATGATTCAAAAGAAACTAGAAAAAGGGAAAGGAAAGAAGGACGAGAATAGTCTGGGGAGCAGTGGGTGGCAAGCTTGCAGCCCTCCTTTCCCACATGGGCTGCCTCTGACTCCCGTCTTCCCACAAGGGGGTCCTTCCGTACTTCAGTCAGCAGAATTCTCTCAAAGCAAGGGCCCTGGCCTTTGAGGACTTTGAGAGGTCTTGAGAGCCAGAAGTTCAACCCCCATGTTCTAGAGACAGAATAAAACTGGGTTCAAGTCTGGGCTTTGCTCCAACCATCTCTGTGACCCTGTGTGTTCTGACTTCTTCTAGTCCTCAGTTTCCTTATTTCTAACATGATGGTCTCAGTAACCACAAAGTCCCTTTCTGTTCTTACAGGCAGGGATTCCATAAGAAGCATAAGCCTCCCTCCTCTCCAGTACTTCCTCCACTGAAATCTGACATTTTTACAGTAAAAGCTTATCTGTGTTAAGGCATGTAAGACTCCCATTAAACTGACTTTTACAGAATGAGACTACACGAACTGTATATATGCCCTCAACCCCTCAACAGTCCTACTCATTCGTTTATTCATGCAATTATGTAGCCCTTCCTTCTATCAATAAGTATTTCTTTTAGGGCATCATATAAGTAGAAGTAACATTAGTTACATTTTATTGTAGGCCAGGCATTTTTCTAGGTACTGGGGATAAGGATGTGACAACCTAGAGTTTCAGCTCAACAACTATCAGAACCATCACCCTTCAGGATCCATTCATCAGCACCTTACATTATGGAAAGAAAGTTCAAACCTCAGCACATGAGTTCTGATGACCAGCTTTAGCTCTGTTACCCTTGGCCAGTGTTTCTCCTTGGGACTTTATCAGGTTGTGTTTCATTGCAAAGAACAGAAAACCCATCTCAGAATGCCTTGACTGAGAATAAATATCTGTTATGATATGAGGTCTGATGACAGAATGGTCCTACAGCTAATTCTGCCCTTCACTGATATTGATAAGGGCCTTTCTGTCCCCCTAGTTGATATTCTCTGAATGTCAGCTTGGGCCTCACAATACCTCCCTCATGGTGATACAGTAGCTGCTGTTGCTCTAGGCATTGTGTCCAACAGGAAAAGAGTGACATCTTGTCCTTGAGCTCTTTTTAAAAAAAGAGAAAACAATCCCCAGAAACTCCTCAATAGATCTGCATTCATGCTTGTTGGCCAGACTGAGTCACAATCCCACTCCTAAAGCAACCATTTAAAAAGGGTTTGGGACAAGTGGGACCATATCAAACTAAAAAGCTTCTGTACAGCAAAGGACACCATCAGTAGAACAAAAAGGCATCCTACAGTATGGGAGAATATATTCATAAATGACAGATCCGATAAGGGGTTGACATCCAAAATATATAAAGAGCTCATGTACCTCAACAAACAAAAAGCAAATAAGCCAATTAAAAAATGGGCAGAGGAGCTAAACAGACACTTCTCCAAAGAAGAAATTTAGATGGCCAACAGGCACACGAAAAGATGCTCCGCATCACTAGTCATCAGAGAAATGAAAATTAAAACCACAATGAGATATCACCTCATACCAGTTAGGATGGCCAAATCTGTAGAATCCAAGAATAGACTACAGTTACCAAAGGGAAAGGGACTGGGGAGGATGGGTGGGAAGGGAGGGATAAGGGGGAAAAAGGGGCATTACTATAAGCACACATAATGTAGCAGGGGGAGGGGGCCACGGGAAAGGCAGTATATACAGAGAGGACAAGTAATGATTCTATAGCATCTTACTATGCTGATAGACAGTGACTGTAATGGGGTGTGTGGGGGGGAATTGATAATAAGGGGAGTCTAGTAACCATAATGCTGTTCAGGTAATTGTACATTAATGATACCAAAATAAAAATAATAAAATAAAATAAAAAATAAAAAATAAATAAAGGGTTTGGGAGTACAAGAATTGGCTTAGGCTAATTGAGATTTATTCTAAATTGCTGGAAGGTCAATCTTCCCTGAGGGATGGATTCCCAAGCACAAGTGCAGCCCTGTCAGTGAGCCAGCTACTTATGCTACAGAACCTTCCATTCCTCAGCTGAAAATAGGGGAAATAACCATTCCTTCTTTGCAGGGCTGTTGTGATTATTAAAAGCGACTAGGAACATTTTGTATACTTTAAGCACTCTGCAGATAGAAGATAGGAATATTCCACTAAAAGAAAGCAGAGACTCTCAAACTGAGTGCGGGTCAGAGTCCCTTAGAGGGCTTGTTAAGAGATTTCTGGGCCCCAGAGTTTCTAATTGAGTAAATCTGGGTGAGATCTGAGAATTCATCTACCTAACAAGTCCCAAGTGATGCTACTAGTGGCTGGGGAACCACACTTTGGGAATCATTCCTGTAGAGTATGACTGTATTGAATATAAGAACAAGGTCTTGTTTATATTTCTATCTCTAGCACTTCATTGCCTGGCACATACAGTGGTGGATGTGTATATAATCTGGCACTTATATAGCTAGATTATTATATAAGAATAATAGCTAATATTTATTCTGTGCTCAGCACTTTATTATACTCTTTATATATATTGTTTCATTTAATCATTACTATAACACCAGAAGGGAGGTACTTTTGTTAGGTACACCTATTTACATGTGGGTCAAATGAGGACTCGAGGCAGAAGGCCAATAAACA